CTGTAAAGGTATAAAAATGTTTTTCTTTTACTGGTAAATTGCTTACATTATTTACTAGTAAATTTGTTACATTATTTGCAAGTTTTTTATAGTTCACATTTTTTGACTTGCCTCGTGAACCCTACATTGTTAATTGGTACATGACCATAAATTGTTTCTTGGCACCCAGTTCTTAAATTATTACTTGTCATGTGACTCCTAAACTGAAAACTAACCATAGAAAATATGTTCAATGACTTTCCTATGCCCAAATCTTTTTGTTTTGGTCATTCTTATGAGTATCAGTATAACCCATGACAGGCCCTGAAATTTTAATTGGTTTGAAAGAATCTGTTTTTCTAAATAGAACTATGAAAAGAAAACACATCGTATGTTGAAGTTGGCAAAAAATTATCACTTGTTGGTAACAGCAGCATAAATGCACAGTGATATTTATTTTTTACAATTTATTGATGCCAAATTGTGATTATTTTTCACAAGTTTTATCTTCTAATACTATGCAGAGGGAAATCCTGTGATATTGTAATCGTTTCAAGTTGTAATATTCATCAAAATATGGAAGTAAGTCACATTGTTTGACTTTATTGGATTATCCTAGGTTAAATCTACATAATGTTGTACTTTTTTATTATAAAAATTTGTATGCTTTGTACAAGGAAATCCTACGATATTACAATTGTTTCAAGGTGTGATACTCCTTGAAACATGAAAATATGCCACATTGTTTGATTTTTATGGGTTATTCTGGGTCAGGATAACCCAGGAAACAGAACAGTTATCTTCTGGTGTGAGTTGGGTTTTAGTTATATGATGACCCACCACTGGAGCTTTTGGTCATCTGACTGAGGCCTTATGCTGGTTTACTGGTGAACCCCTATAAAAAATAAAAATTTGTAGTATATATATGCCATCCTCTAAATTTAAGAGTACAAATGCTTGTTGAACTAAATGGAGCAAATGACTGTAACATTGGTGAGACAGTGCATGCAATGATGTATATTTGTTTAAGAATTTTTTTCTATCTACAGCATCGAGCATCTGTCCTGAAATCTGATCGAGATTTAAAAAGTGCACATCCACTAGTTGACTACACTCCACCACAGAATTTGACCCTCCTCTACACCGATCTTGGGGTATTACCCACATCAGCTGTCACCGAGCATCTCATCAAGCTTTATACATAGATAAATCAATAGATAAGAAATTTAAAAGAAGATTATGTGCTGCAGTAAAACACTTGACTTTTTAAGCTGCAACACTAAGATGGGTGAATAATGTGAGTTCTGTTGAGAAATAAAACTCTTGCTACACTCATTGATACAAAAGACTGAAAAATTAATTGTATGTTTTGTATTTAATGGCAAATTAAAAATATGATGCTATATATTATGAATGTGACTTATGACCTGATAAAATAAACTCTTCAAAGAGTGCAGTGCCTGCACTTGAAAGAGAGGTGCAAATATTTGCAGCTTTGAACTGTAGAATCGGCACCCCTCTGGCAAGACAGTGGTGGAATGAGTGATGGTGAAAGTGTTTCTTCTTTTTTGGGTCTCCCTGCCTTGTTGGGAGATGGCTGGTCTTTCTAAAAAAAAAAAATCCCATTAATTGGTTGTGTGGGAAAAACATGACACGCATCTTTTTATGTATAAGTGGAGTTTCAACGCTCTCATCAATGTTGATTTCTCGAGGGAACCTTATGCTGGTGAGGGGCTCTTGATCCAAAAAACTGAAGTTATCTTCCCCTTCCTTGAATTTAACCTGAATGCCTCCTATTCCACAAGCGCTATTATGACCCCTGATTTATTTTTTTTATTAATACATCGGCCATTTCCCACCAAGGCAGGGTGACTCGAAAAAGAAGAAACACACTTTTATCATCACTCACTCCATCACTGTCTTGCCAAAGGCATATGACACTATAGATAAAAAAACTGCAACATATCTACACCTGTTCTGCAGAGCACAGGTACTGTATTTCCCACCTCCAGGACTCAAGGCCTACTAACCGGTTTCCCTGAATCCCTTCGTAAATGTTACTTTGCTCACCTCCAACAGCACGTCAAGTCGTAAAAACCATTTGCTTCCACTCTCTTCTATCTAATATGCTCATGGACACCTGCTGGAAGTCTAAGCTCCTTGCACACAAAACCTCCTTTGCCCCCACCCTCCAATCCTTCCTAGCATGACCCCACCCTCCAATCCTTCCTAGCATGACCCCACCCTCCAATCCTTCCTAGCATGACCCCACCCTCCAATCCTCCTAGCATGACCCACCCTCCAATCCTTCCTAGCATGACCCCACCCTCCAATCCTTCCTAGCATGACCCCACCCTCCAATCCTTCCTAGTCATGACCCCACCCTCCAATCCTTCCTAGCATGACCCCACCCTCCAATCCTTCCTACATGACCCCACCCTCCAATCCTTCCTAGCATGACCCCACCCTCCAATCCTTCCTAGCATGACCCCACCCTCCAATCCTTCCTAGCATGACCCCACCCTCCAATCCTTCCTAGCATGACCCCACCCTCCAATCCTTCCTAGCATGACCCCTTCCCCACCTACCTTCCACTTTAGATTTATACACCCTCCAAGTTATTGTTTTGTTCCATCCTCCCTAAATGTCTAAACCATCTCAACAACCCCTCCTCAACCTTCTGGGTACTACATCTGATTAAATTGGATAAAAGAAACAATAGTTAACTTCTGCCATGAAGCTCATGAAGTCTTCAGTGAATAAGGTGAGCAAAGGACAATCAAAACAAATGATTACTAAAATACAGTATAATTATTTCTTACAATACACATGCAGTATTTATGTGTACTGAAACATAATACTAAATAACAAAGACTAAAGTATACTACTGTGCAGTATTGTAAAATATTAGATCATTATATTTTAAAATGCCACGCTTCCTTCTAGACTTCTAGGTCCAACCTCTGTAAGGGGACAGAAAAAACATGGGGAAAATTAAACTTAATAAGGTTGAGTCTGAGGTAGGAGAGAGTAGTTTCATTTCCCTGAGGCGAAAATTTTTCACGGTATGTAGTCTATGGAAATAAGTCACTTTGACATTTTTGGTTATCCTATGTAATTTACACATGCTATTTAAGGCAATTTTAAATCATCAGAAAATGTGTAAATTGTACGTAAATAAACATAGTATTTACATACTCCTGTACTCTGCTACACCTTCTACCTCAAGAATCTCGGTGGAAATAAGTGTAATTACAATTTTGATTTGTTAAGTACAAAGAAAGACACTCTCATGCCGAAGCATTTTGGGCAATCCTAGTACATAATAACTACTTAAGTTTAGACAAGATAAAAGTGGTTAACTTTTTAATAAATCTTTATTTTATCTTAATACTAGTGCGAGGGTTATCCTAGGTAAGTTACACAGGTGAGTAAGACAATTGTAATCATCTAAAATTGTGGAAAAATTGTACCTAAATGAACTTGCGTATTTATATGTGGTAAACAATAGAAAGATCAGTTAATTTTTTTAACACGTCAGCCTTCTCCCACCGAGGCAGGGCAACCCCAAAAAAGAAAGAAACACTTGCACTATTATTCAACACTTTCATCATCATTCACACATAATCACTGTCTTGGCAGAGGTGCCCAGGTATGACAGTTTGGATGTCACTCCAAACATCCAATATCCCAAACCCCTCCTTTAAAGTGCAGGCATTGTACTTCCCACCTCCAGGACTCAAGTCCAGCTAACCAGTTTCCCTGAATCCGTTCACAAAATATTATCCTGCTCACACTCCAACATCTCGCCAGGTCCCCAAAACCATTCATCTGCATTCACTCCTATCTAACACACACACACATGCCTGCTGCATGTCTAGGCCCCTTGTGCACAAAACCTCTTTTACACCCCTCCCTCCATCCTTTCCTAGGATGACCCCCTACCCCCTCAGTAATCTAACAATAATAATAATAAGTTGCAGAGATTGGTGGATGAATTTGGTAGGGTGTGCAAAAGAAGAAAATTAAAGGTGAATACAGGAAAGAGTAAGGTTATGAGGATAACAAAAAGATTAGGTGATGAAAGATTGAATATCAGATTGGAGGGAGAGAGTATGGAGGAGGTGAACGTATTCAGATATTTGGGAGTGGACGTGTCAGCGGACGGGTCTATGAAAGATGAGGTGAATCATAGAATTGATGAGGGAAAAAGAGTGAGTGGTGCACTAGGAGTCTGTGGAGACAAAGAACTTTGTCCTTGGGGGCAAAGAGGGGAATGAATGAGAGTATAGTTTTACCAACGCTTTTATATGGGTGTGAAGCGTGGGTGATGAATGTTGCAGCGAGGAGAAGGTTTGGAGGCAGTGGAGATGTCATGTCTGAGGGCAATGTTGGTGTGAATATAATGAAAGAGAATTCGTAGTTTGGAAGTTAGGAGGAGGTGCGGGATTACCAAAACGTTGTCCAGAGGGGTGAGGAAGGGGTTTTTGAGGTGGTTCGGACATGTAGAGAGAATGGAGCGAAACAGAATGACTTCAAGAGTGTATCAGTCTGTATGGAAGGAAGGCGGGGTAGGGGTCGGCCTAGGAAGGGTTGGAGGGAGGGGGTAAAGGAGGTTTTGTGTTTCGAGGGGCTTGGACTTCCAGCAGGCATGCGTGAGCGTGTTTGATAGGATGAATGGAGACAAATGGTTTTTAATACTTGACGTGCTGTTGGAGTGTGAGCAAAGTAACATTTATGAAGGGATTCAGGAAACCGCAGGCCGACTTGAGTCCTGGAGATGGGAAGTACAGTGCCTGCACTCTGAAGGAGGGGGGTTAATGTCGCAGTTTAAAAACTGTAGTGTAAAGCACCCTTCTGGCAAGACAGTGATGGAGTAAATGATGGTGAAAGTTTTTTTTTTTCGGGCCAACCCCCGCCTTGGTGGGAATCGGCCGGTGTGATAATAAAAAATAAAAAAAAAAATAATAATAATAATAATAAAAAATAATAATAATAATAAATAAAAATTTTTTTTTTAACAAGTCGGCCGTCTCCCACCGAGGCAGGGTGACCCAAAAAAAAAAAGAAAATCACCAAAAAGAAAATACTTTCATCATCATTCAACACTTTCACCTCACTCACACATAATCACTGCTTTTGCAGAGGTGCTCAGAACACAACAGTTTAGAAGCATATACCTATAAAGAAACACAACATATCCCTCCAAACTGCTAATATCCCGAACCCCTCCTTTTGTAGGTAGTAGGTTGGTAGACAGCAACTACCCAGGGGGGTACTACCGTCCTGCCAAGTAGTGTGAACGAAAGCCTGTAATTGTTTTGCATGATGGTAGGATTGCTGTGTCTTTTGTCTGTCTCATAAATATGCAAGATTACAGGTACGTCTTGCTACTTCTACTTACACTTAGGTCACACTACACATACAGGGACATGTTTATTTAACACACTCATCTGAGTTTTTTCTCTGATTTTATATTAAAAAGTTCTTGGTCTTATTACTTTTCCTTTTAAATCCATGGGGGAAATGGAATAAGAATCTTTTCCTCTGTAAGCCATCGTGTTGTAAAAGTCAACTAAAATGCCAGGAACAATGAGCTAGTAACCTCTTTTCCTGTAAAAATTACTGAAAAGAATAATAATAATAATAATAATCCTAGTAGTAGGTTGGTAAACAGCAACCGCCCAGGGAGGTACTACCGTCCTGCCAAGTGAGTGTACAATGAAAACCTGTAATTGTTTTACATGATGGTTAGGATTGCTGGGGTCCCTTTTGTCTGTCCTAACATGCAAGATTTCAGGTATGTCTTGCTACTTACTTACTTACGCTTAGGTCACACTACACATACATTAAAAA